CATCTCCCATTTTGACCTCGGGACTTCCAGGTTATACTCGGCACAGATGTTCCTGTACACTATGCCGGCCACTTGGTTATGGCGTTCCATGTATGTTTATAATTGTGTTAACAAACAGCTGAACAGTTGTACTGCATCCTTCAAGGTCACTGTTCTGATTTCCTGTATTCTTTGAATATTTGCCAAGGTGTAGTTGCTTGCACTGTATACATGCAGTAAACAGTATATTTTAGTTTTTATCAGTACTACATACATACTTTTATTTTAATTAATCAAAGGACAAATGTATACAAAACAACAAACCAACAGGAAATGAAAAACTGTCAGACTGCATTTAGCTCTTTGAGCTAAATACTAACATGAACAAATTCTTACATTGAGTAGTTGTACCTTTATTGTCAGAATCAGAATACTTAATTAATCCCTGAGGAAATAATGTATTATTTACTAAGAAAACTTTGTAGTATTAGCTAATTAGCACTAAATACCAAATATCACTGATGCTAATATGAACCACTGAAGTTTGTGCCTGACATAGGGTGAGGAAAGATTACCCAAGTTCTTGGTTCTTGTTAGGGGTCTAACATGGCATAAAATAATATTATAACCCCACATTCTCTAGGGAACACAATTGTACTAACTGATCTATCCAGTAATTCAGATATCAGTCTGGCTCAAGTGAATTTATTTACTAACTGGTAGACCAGAATAGTCATTCTTTTAGTTATGCTATCAAATGGCTTAAAAAACAAACAAACAAAAAAACAACAACCCTCAAACAAACAAGAAGTTTCTTGTGCTCTGTGCATACTTACTGTTTACGACTCCACCAGAGTAGGCGTCTCTGTGTGTAGCGTGAGCGATGCCCCGACGGCCGAGCTCATACGCCTCCTCTACTGTCATGTCTTCCCTGTAACCGCTGTCCACCACACCGTAGGCGTAGCTGTTCCCACAGCCGGTGGAAAACATGCGGCCAGACAGACGCGTCCCATTATCATCCACATAGTACAGACCAGGACCCTGCAGGACAGGCAGTCAGTTATGTAACCTGAATTTTATTATTTTAAAGGCTAAAGTGGACATAGTGCATTTTCTTACAATTATTCTCACATCAGCTGCTCTCATTAATTACCATCCTGCACTGTAACATTACTACCTTTTGATTTTAGCTCATGTAATGATCTGATATATGCAGTACTGTATGTGCTTTTATCTTCAAATGTCTTTAAGATTACACTGATGATCACAAGATTTTGAAGCCTGTTAGATGGTTTCAGAGTCACACAACATTTTGATATTATTTCCTATTGTAGATTATTTAATCAATATGTCATGTTTGTTGTGATATTATGTATGTTTCTGTAAACTCAACAGACCCTTGTGTGGTCTACAATCTTAACATTGTTTAGATCTATATTTGTTGATAGCAGAGTTTTAGGTTAAGCAAGTAAAACATAAAAAAGGATAATATTATACTTTTTAACATAAGCTACACTGAGAATAACAGCTTGTGGGGAAAAGTATCTTTAGCAGCCCTTAAATTCCATTTCATACCACTTATCCGGGCTCCGGTCACAGGGACGGCAATCTGAGGAGAGAAGTCCAAACTCCCTTCACCCCACCCATCCTTCAGCTCATCCAGGGGGACACGCAGTCATTTCCAAACCAGCAGAGAGATATAATCCCTGAAGAGTGTACTGGGTCTACCCTGAGCCCTCCTCCCAGCAGGACACATCCAGAACACCTCACCCAGGCATCCTAGTCTGATTTCTGAAACATGTCTACTGACTCCTTTTAATGTGGAGGAGCAGCAGCTCTACTCTTAAAAGGAGTCACTGAATTTAAGGATGTGGTCATTCAACCTCCCATGGATTCTAATCAAAACCACAATGCTATTAACAATATTTTTACAACAAAGTAGCGTACAATATTAGGCTTGGCTTTAGCTGAACTGATCCCACAAACACACCCTCAGCTTACCTCTTTGTCCCATCCACAGATCATGCTCCCCATGGAGAGGCCCATTCCTCTGTAGCCCAGCATCATGTTAGATAACTGCTTAGAGGCAGCAGCCACAGAGATCTGGTGGTTTTTCCTCAGCCTGTAAAGTCTGAGTGAAATTACAATAAATGATTGATTTATGAACAAATCATTTCATAAATTATTCAACTATGTGGTCAGTCCAGATTGTCCTGAATTTAAAATCTGTCATAAAAAAATCCTGCGTATAGCCCTCCTGATTTTAAGAGGTGCAGGTGTGGAGCATATATTTTGTTTGTTGTAATGAGAAGAAAATATAAAAAAAAAAAAATTTATTTAAAAAAACAAGTTATGTGATAACCATGTCTCTTTAATAAATCTGCATTCATGGCATTTCAGTAAGTTATTCTTGAAGGCTTGACTTGAATTCCACACAAAAACCTCTTGTTATGAATTCTTGAGCTCTTTGCTCCACTCAAACGAAATCAATCAGCTTTCTCATTTTCATTTCACTTTTAAATTTTCTTCTTCCTTTGTACCAAGTCATAAAACACTAAAAGAGAAACTAGATAAAATACTTTAGTATGTTTCATAGCATGCAGTCAGATTACAATACATCATCGAAGCTGAGAAAAATCATGAAATAAATGGAGGCTAGGAGATAATATGTAGGACAGACCTGCACTCTTTGGCCAAGAGTCTCTCCCAGTACTGACAGTCTGCAGCGCTGCCTGACATGGTGCCCAGCAGGTACGGGTTGATCTCTGTCACCTTGTTCACATCATTGGATGCTGCAAAGATATGAATAAAATGTATTTTACAGTATTATAAAGTCTTGAGCCACCTCATGACTGATAGTGTGTGTTTTTCTATACAGGTATGCTTTTACTGCATTGGCAGTGTGTTTGAGACTTCAGTAAACAGTAGATGGATCAACTGAAGAACCAGGTGCATCTCTTATGTTGCTGGATTTTTTTCCCTGTTTCTTAAGGACACAGTTTTCAAATTCTGTTCATTTGCTTTAGAAAGTTTTTTTAAGACCAACATTTCTTCTTTTGTCCTCCACGTGTTCATATTTTTAGGACCCACTGCACACCGTGCTGAGATAGAATCTAATGAGCCGAATTTACAGTCTTCTGACAAGTGAAGCATGTAGAGCTTTTGAAATCAACCAAGACAGCTTGCAGACTTTGCAGAACTTCACACAAAGTTTTGTGTTAGCAAAATCTAATTGATGCAGATGTCCTTAGAAAAATACACACAAGACAAAGTAAAAACACACTCCTCAAACTATGAGAGCCCTCCCTGTCCGTGTGCTCTTTTAACAGCTAGTACTACAAAGCACAGTGAAAACATGTGTATTTGATGCCCTCTCTTAAAGAAAAAAAAATGACAGGTTGGTGCTCAGTGAGTATATTCCTTCAGAAAAATATATAAATATACAAGAATATATCTTTTTTTTTATTGCATTTTGGGGTTGTTAAAGTGAGATAAATAAAACTCACACGTAAGTTTTCATCTGAAAATGTTGAATTTGAGTAAAACCCAACGCTCCGTAGTGTGACTGTTTGCGTGATTTTGATAAAAGTTGTCATTGTTGTGCTTTAAACTGTAAACCTTGTCCTGAACTGCATGTTCAGATATTTTTCTGTCCTTCCCCTACATCTAGGATGGTGGGGGATGCTATTAGCTATAGTGTTTAACTGCAGGCACACTTGCATGTAAGATTCTGGTTTCCTTATTTAGTAAACAATGTTTACTTCCTGCCATGTATGCGCTCACCTGTACTTGTATATGGTGGACCAGTAAAGGGGTTAAGCCATATATATTGGCTGAATAAAAAGCTGCGAGGTGACGCTGGTTTTTTTAAGTTGGCTGGGATCAGGTGAGGAGGTGGCAGCTCTGGATCCTGACCGGACTGGCTTCCCTTGCAAGTTGAAATGGATTTAGCTCTGAGTGTCTTGCTTCGTTCATGGTGATAAGTCAGAGCTAGCGTGGCCTGTGAGTGCAGACCTAACAGTGACACTATCACTACAGGCAAAGTGGATGTTTAAAGCCATTGGGCGTGCATTTAAAATGCAACACGTCTCCTTATCAGCTGGAAATATTAAAGCCAAAACTTACAACACAAAACTTATGACATCAATGCTGGACCTGTTCTAAAATTTGAATGCACATGCATTGAAATTACAGGTCTTCTTGAGTCATTAATCAAAAATGTCTTAATTTGTAGAGGTACAATAAATTTAAATTATTGTCTGCTTGAATATCAGTACAGCTCTACTTATCATTGTTGAATCATTTGTTGTTATCTGTTTGTGATACTTTTTGAAGGAACAATTGGATTGTTTAAATTTTCCAGGAGTTAATTTATTTGTTTGGTTACTTAAGTAGTAATCATATTGAACGCATTGTAAAGACCTGCACTTACATCCATCTAACAGTACAGGAGAGGCACAGCTCAGCAGGTTCTGAGGTAGCTGTTTACAAACTGTTGTATCCTATCTGAAGATTCTTTACAATTTTAAGTTGAGAAACATTATTCTTAAAATATTTGACCTGTATAAAGTGTGCACTATTATGTAGGTATTAATAAATAAGAACTTAAGAAGTGACGTGCTTAATTTCTTAAGAAGCATAAAGATAGAGGGATCTTTATTCAGAAGTGGAAATTATGATTGTGGCTCAACCATTGTACAAAAACGTAAAAAATCTAGCGAGTGAAGACGTCCCTCGGGATAGCTCATCAAAATGACTCAAAAAAATCTTTTAATATGCTCAAAAGTGTGTCAAACCCATCTTTTCACCAAATCAATAACCTGTTGATTACTTTGGATATATTTCTGGGAGACTTTTGACAATGGTGAAGCCCAAACTTAAGAAGAATGATGCGAGTGATGTAGGCCTGGAAGCCTCTTCGGACTCACCTGGTGGGTACCCTTCCCCAGCACTGGAGAAGGAGAAATGCGTCATTAATTTCCTGTCTGATATAGAAATAACAGTTTATAATATGGCAGCATCCCCCACAAGGCATATGAAGCCATTGCACACCAGCACTGCATTTATATTATACTTCAATCAAGATATAGTGTGGCGGAGGTGTGGTCCCGGGCGCGGCTGCAGGGGAGGAGTGGTGCAGTGAGCTCAATGGGGCGGTGCTGGAGACGCAGGTGAGAACAGCTGATGGCGTTTGGACTGATGATGGTTTCCTTCCCTTTTATAGTGAGACGGGAGAGGAGCGGAGGGGAGGCTGGAAATCAGCTGAGACCAGAGCTGCAGACTGTGGTCGGTCATAACAAATGAAAACGATAAATAAACGTGGCATCTGGCGACAAACACTGTGCGTGTGTGTAAGTGTGTGAAGTGCATTTCACAGTAGTTATTGATTTATTATTGATTTATTTAGTTATAATTATTAGTATTTAATCATATTAGCACAATGGGGGTGACAAAAATATTTCACATACTAGAAATGCTGCTCAGCGTTTCATAAATTACATTTTCAACAAATGTTGGAGTAAAAACACAGTTACAGTGAGAACGTGTCTGTCTGCAAATATTAACTAAACATTTCTATGTGCTACAGAATAGACATAATGGTAAATGTGCTGAGGTGAAACTAAACTTTAAACAATATTACCACTACAGTCTGTTAACCACCAAATTAATCTATGCTGGTCAGCTAGCTAAACGTCTTTACTTTAGCAGCCCAAATCAGAGGCTAACATTAGCATTTGTTAGCGTCAGCCAGGAAGGTCTGAGGCTTAAACTAGGGTTAGTGTAACTTTGCCTGAAATCCTTTAAAAGGTACAGTAGAGCCAACTGTAAAACACAGGTATTGATATAGTACTTATTAGAGTCCTAGAATAATTTCTTCCTCTCTATACATCAGTAGAACCATGAAGTTCTCACTTTTCCCAGTTATCCACATCGCTGACTTTCGCTAAAGTAGCTAATTAGCAGTCACAGCTGTGTAATACCCAGAGAGAAGCAGACAGCTAACTATGGTTATTATGAAAACTGATCAAGCCACTGAAGGGCAAAACTGGAGGTTTCATAGCAAAGGTTATTTTAACATTAACTAAAATGGAAAACTTAAGTCATGTTAAACCTAAATAATTATTATTTAAAAAATGAGTCAGCAAAATATTCCTGACTTGTCTGGAGACAGCAGAAACCAGTTAACAAATAAATTAACAATTCTTTCTAAATAAAAACGCGGAGTCTTTTGAGAAACATTATTTTAACAAAAGAAATTTTGAGTTTAAATATTTACCACAGAAATTTGAAGGCAGTTTCTCCAACTCCAGAGTCCAAAATCCAGATGAAGACTAAAAGAAGCCTAATGGCTACTCTTGCTCTTCCTTTTCCCTTCTTTTGGGGTTATTTTTCCCACAATGCATTGCAGTAGTTGAGAAATACAGAAAAATACCTGTAAATGATTAATACAGAAAATTCCTTCACATGTATACAGTAGATTGTACTGTATTTTTATGGATCTTTTCTACAATGCTTGGCTAAGGCGTTATTCTTCAGGACCCTCAGGAGTGCAGTCGCTGCTGTGCCTTCTTGATCATAGCTGTGGTGTTTGTTTTCCAGGATAGGTCACCACTCGGGTACAGGCCCATGAACTTGAAGTCAGAGACCCTCTCCACACAGTCCCCATTAATGTGTAAAGGCTGAGGATCAGATTTGTTCCTTCTGAAGTCAACAGTTATTTCTTTGGTTTTTGTAGTGTTGAGATCCAGGTTGTTTTGGCTGCACAATGGTGACAGTTTTTCCACTTTGTCCCTGTCATCTCCTCCCGTGATGAGCCCGATCACAGTTGTGTCGTCCGCAGACTTCACAATGGCGTTGGATGGGTGGATGGAGGTGCAGTCATGAGTGCATAGAGTGTACAGCAGGGGACTCACCACATATCCCTGTGTTGAGGCTGTGCTGAGGACAGGTGGGGCCCTATTTCGACTCTCTATCGGCAGTCTCTGAGGAAGTCCTCGATCCAGAGACAGGTGGAGTGTGGGAGGCCGAGGTCGTGTAGTTAGCCAAGTTAAAATCAATAAAGAGAAACCTGATGTAACTGTCCTGTTGTTCTAAGTGAGTTAGAATTGTATGGAGGGCTATGGGTATGGCATCCTGTGTCGATCTGTTCTTCCTGTATGCGAACTGGTGGGGATCGAATGATGTGGGTTCTGACCAGTTTCTCGAGACACTTCAAAATGACTGGAGTAAGAGCCACTGGCCAGAAATCATTTAGGCACTGGCTGGTAGCTTTCTTTGGAATGGGGATTATGGTAGAGGACTTCAGGCAGGGTGGAATGGTGGCCTATGTTAAGGACAGATTGAATATTTTAGTAAAGACCCCTGCGAGCTGTTTTTTCCTTTAGCACCCTACCAGAGACGCCGTCGGGACCTGCTGCTTTCTTGGGGTTTACTGCCCTTGTGGTGGCTGTAGCTCAGGTGGCAGAGCAGGTCAGCCGCTAACCAGAAGCTCGGTGGTTCGAGCCCAGGCTGCATGCAAAATATCCTTGGGCAAGATACTAACCCCACGTTGCTCTCCGATGCATCCATCGGAGTGTGAATGTGTATGAATGTTAGATACTTAGCACTTAGTGAATGGGTGTGATTGATTGTGTGAATTAATTAGTTGTGTAAAGCGCTTTGAGTGCTCAGATAGAGTAGAAAAGCGCTATATAAGAACAAGTCCATTTACCTTAGTACACACCTCACATCATGCTCCTCAACAGTGACGATGTGGATGTGATGTAGCCTCTTCTGGTGTTTTCTGTTTGAAGCAGGTACAGAAGCAGTTCAACTTCTCTATGAGTGTAGCATCACCATTCACAGCATTTGTTCTGGGTTAGTAGTTGGTGATGTTATGGACTCCCCTGCAGACCTGCCTTGAGTTATAACTATGGAGGTGGTCCTCAATTTTGTTTTTGTAGTCTAGCTTAGCCCGTGTGATGCCGGTTTTTTAAGGTTTTCCCTAGCTGCACTGTACAGTTCTACGTCTACAGACCTATAGGCAGTGTTTCTTTCCTTCAGCAGGGTCTTGACCTCTCTTGTCATCCAGGGTTTTTGATTGGCATACACGCAGATATGTTTTTCAATAGTGACAGTGTCTGTGCAATGCTTCATGTAGGAGAATACAGATGTAGTGTACTCCTCCAGGTACTGAGATTGAAATATGCTCCAGTCTGTTAGCTTAAAACAGTCCTGTAGTTTTTCTGAGACAACTTCAGGCCAAGTTTTCACCGTTTTGCAGGTTTCTCCAATCTTATAAACGGTACATTTGCATAATGACTGAGTAACAATGGGCTGTGATCAGTTTCATGATCATAAATTTGTCATGATGATTGACCAATGACATGAGTACCATTCGGAGAGTTGGGGAACGGCCTCACAGCCCATTGTTAGTCAGTTAGTCAGATAAAATAGACAAACTTATGTGATCACAATGCTCAAAGTGAAATGGTGTCTCCTCTCCTTCTTTGATTGGAGTTTAAACCACTGGGAGGCCCTGAAAACGCTCTCAGCTGTCACAGAGCTCAGTGAACGGCCAAGAACGTGTTGTTTCCGTCATTCATAAACGTTGCGTAGCCTCAAGTGGAGTTCAATGACTGAAAAAAAAGCAGTGGTTTTTATTCGCCGCTCATAAGGACGTTTTCTGTCGGGGTTTTCACTGAGTTTTACAGCGACCTGATTTAAAAACACCACCTTAAATAATCAACCTTCAGCCACTTTATGGGAAATTTAAGACATTTTAACGCTTTAATTTCCCCATTATATTTTCAGGCTGTTGTCTATTAGTAAAAAATTTAATCAATCTGGGACCAAAAATATTCAACATAAACTGAAAGTCAAACTTAATGTCATTTAAAAATGAGACAAAATCAGTTTGAAATTTTTAAAAAAAATCTGATTTTCTTGTCAGATCTCAGCTTGTATCGTCTGTCTGTTAGTTTGTGTTTCTTATTTTTGGTCTAATTCTCACTAAACTCTTGTGCTATTAGACTCAAACTGAAAGTTAATATTTGTTTATTTTCCACAGAGTAACTTTCATGTATTTATGATATATTTATGGAACCTCTGCTAATGAAAGATAATCTTGAGAACATTTCCTCATGAAAACGTGCTGAATCTTTTAGAGACACAGTTTTCAAGCCTATTTGAATTTTTTTTTTTTTTTAATATTTTTCCAGTATTTTTATTTGGTTGAAACTGATTATTGTCTTTACTGCTTCAGGTTTTGATTTGTTTGTTGTTGTTGATCTACAGGATCTACAGGAAATAATCTCACCATCATCATTGCGATTTTTGCTGTGGTTGTTGTCCTCGGCGCTGTGACTGGATTCATTGTCTACAAAAAGAAAACAAGTGAGAGACAAAAACTGAAAAAGAAAATAATTTTTAGTTAATGCTCTTATACAAAAGTGTATAAGCAGCACAAGGCATGGTGTCATGGAAATATGAATTACATGATAATATGTCAAAAGAAACGCATAGAATATTCTAACTATAAATTATCTTTTTCTTTTATTTCAGGCAAATGCTCCCAGTCTCGTAAGTAAAACTAGTGTCTGTCTTGTCTTATATCATATACATTCTGTAGACCACAAAGTATTTTTAACAAGTACAAACAGTGACAACACAACATTAATGAACTATTTATTATATACTAATGTATGATAAAACAAATGTTTATGCTCACAAAGTTTTCTAATCAAATATTTGACTGAACCAGAGTTCTTTTATGTGTTAATGATTCTGTAAATATGTAGCAGATATTTATTCTAAATCATTGTTTTATAAAATCTTAATGTTGGTTTTTGTTTTGTTTTTTTTGTCTCTACAGGTTTATGGAGATATATTGCACTCAAAAAAGAGACATTGTCACTTGATTCTCCATAAAGTGGGACTAAATTCTTTAATTCGTCAAACTTAAGACTTGGAAAAAGTGTTGCACTTACTTATTCATCCATTAACTAATTTTAAATTACTTGATTCTTTTTTTGAAGTTCGAATTAGTAATTCAAAGTAATTAAAATTATTTGTGATTTTAATCACTTTGAATTTGGGGGAAATAAATTTAAAGATGAATTGGCAGATATTTAACAAGTATAACATAAATGGTGACCTTATTTTGAGACTTGAATTCCCAGTCAGGAAGGTGGATTTCTTTGATAAATATAACACCAATGGAGGGAAGTACCACATGTTTTAAAAATCACATGACCGCAGTCTAAAAAATTTTGGTTTATTGGAAATAAACACAATATATTTTTAGCTTGGTATTTCTGGTGTTGGGGTATTCTGTAAATCAATAAATTACTAAATCACTGTTGGTAAAAAATACAAATGTATTATTAGAGATGCTTGTCCTTTACATACACATGCTCTTATAGTTTGGTAATATGATCATATATTTCTTTAGATTTGTCAACAAACAGGACAATTCTGTAAATCAGTCATCAACATTAAAAAAACACATTGTGGAAATTATAGATTTTAAATCACATGAACTCATCAGTGTAAATTATTGTTTAACTTTCTAAATCTGTTGGTAAACTGGGAATGACTCCAGTCCTCTGCAGCTCTCAGTAATCAGACAGGAAATGGTTGGATGGGCACTGAACTGTTATGATTAGCAGGATTTATCAATAATGATTTAGACACATATTTTCCATTTGGTTTCTTCTACATCTCTGAATTATTTTTTAACTTAAGTTCTTTAAAATATATATCAAGTAGAGGGATAAAATAACACCCATCCATAAACACATGCCAAAGTCTCAGATCACAGTGGATTTCCAAATTTTGTACATAAACCGTTTGTACATTTCTTTAAAACTATTTTGTGTTGATTTTAACCAGACCTAGGGTGGTTATAATTTATGTCTTTGAGGTTATTCTCAAATAAAAAAGATAATTGTGTTGTTTCTTATGTGTTTTTAGTCTAAAACGTTTTGATCTTTGGTTTGTTTTCTGATTTAGTTTAAATTGAGCTTCTGATGGCTTGTGTGATATTTTCTTGAAAATGCTTTCTGTTCATATTTAGGGGTTTTAAAGGGCCTTTTCTGTCTTATGTAAACACATAGGAGTTAAACAGTGATGTTGCTGTTTCATTCTCTTTTATACTTTTGCCTTTCAATAAAGTCCCCAATAATCCAAATTTCTGTCTTTTTGTGATTCCATACACTGTACACTTAGCTACAACATGAGTTATGTCTAAGTGTTAAAAGAGTTTTTCACCAGGTGACATTTTAACTGATCACAGATCTATTAGGCCTCAGTGAAAGAAGAATATGGTAAATGGTCTGTATTTGTATAGCGCTTTTACTTGCTAACCCAAATAGGTTAGCAAGCTCCATGTGACCACAACAACCTTGTAGTGTATAACTGATTTCTCTTGATTTTTCATTTGTATTTTTTCTGTGTCTCAGATAATTACATATAGACAGACCCTAACCTTTAGACTGGGGAAGGTCTGTAATTCTAATCAATGTCTCATTTATTAGCAGCAGAAATATTGGCAACACTTTGCAGTACCTCTGCTCCTTTATTTATTTCTCTAAGTGTAATGAATCACACACATGGGAGTTACTGAGATTTGTGGCAGGCAATTTACTGCTAATTCTGCTAAATTTAACTCCAAACAGCATCTATTATTTTGTTATAGGTAAGTTTTATAGTTATGCTATAGTAGAATATACACAGAATATGTATAGTAGAAAGAGTAGAATTTGAGATTTTTTTTTTTTTTTTTTTTTAAGAATTCTGACTTGAAAAATATGACATTTTTACAACAACAACATTGGCGGCAGAAGTAGAACTTCCAGATAAACATATTTTAATTAATTTTTCATGGCACAGATTCAGCAGGTTGCTGGAAACATTCCTCAGAGATTTTGGTTCATATTGAGATGACAGCATCATACAGACACACACGCTGGAAATTTGTTGGCTGCACATCCTTTTCCTGTTCCAATCTCCTGTTCCATCAAACCCCAATGCTGGATGTTGGATCGAGATCTGATGACTGTGGAGGTCACTTGAGTGCAGTGAACATTGTCATGTTCAATAAAAATAAGTTTGAGATAATTTGAGCTTTGAAACATGGAGCATTATCCCACTTTAAGCAGCCATTCAAAGATGGGTACACTGTGGTCATAAAGGGACGGACATGTTCAACATCGAATCTCAGGTAAGCTGGTGTGTTTAAACAATGCTCAGTTTGTGCTAAGAGCTCCAAAGTGTGTCAAGAAAATATCCCCACACTATTGCATGAAGAATAGCCTGAACTGTTGACACAAGGCAGGATGGATCCATGCTTTCATGTTATTTATTTATTTATTATTTATTTATTCCGGAGGCCAGAGGGCAGGCAAGTAGGCAGGAAGGAGAGACAGATATTTTCAGAGCAGAGGAGCGAAAGCTGTACTCCAGGTGAGTCCAATTCATGGGGAGCAACACCCTCCGTACACAGGGAAGACAAGGTTGCACGGGGGAAATAGGTAAAACAATTTCCAAAAAGGAGCTGCCTAGTTATCGCCAGAGGGCATATAACGAACTGGTGATCAGCCCTTTTGCTGATTGCTTGTAGAAGAGACCCAAGGGGTGGAGAGGAGACCAGCAGTACCAGGTGGAAAAACCTCAGACACTACCACGGACAATGAAACTGGGATTCTTTGAGCTAAATACAAACATTATCAAATTCTTACATTCACTAGTTGTATCTTTATTGTAAGAATCAGAATACTTAGTTTATCCCTGAGGAAATTATGTATTATTTACTAAAAAAGAGATTTGTAACATTAGGTGCTTAGCACTAAATACCAGATCGCACTAATATGAGGCTAATATGAACCACTGAAGTTTGTACCTGACGTAGGGTGAGAAAAGGTTGCATACGTTCTTTATCCTCTAGGGAACACAAATGTACTTACTGATCTATCCAATAATTCAGACAACAGTCTAGATCAAAGTGAACTGATCTACTGACTGGTAGACTAGAATGCTCATTCCTTTAGCTATGCCATCAAATGGTTTAAAAAAAAAAAAGACTCAAAAAGTCGTAGAATATGTTTAAGGAAGTTTTTCCATGCATACTTCCTGTTTAAGTAGATATCTCTGTATTTTATGTTTTTGAGTTTTTGAATTATCTGATTGTTACATATTATTACATAATACGTTTTATAACATGAATTCCAAAAAAGTTGGAAAGTTCTTTAAACTTGAATAAAATGAAAACTAAAAGACTTTCGAATCACATGAGCCAATATTTTAATAAAAACAGAATATAAATAATGTAACAAATGTTTAAACTCTTGGGTTGGCCAGAAGTATTTTTGCAACCACACGTAAGAAACTTCATTTCACAGACCCAGAAGCTCCAGCCATCTTTTATACTGTCTATAGTGATAAAAGTCAGTGCTGTGAAAATAAATGTATTCAACAAGTATGCACAGTACTGTGCAAAGATCTTGAGCCACCCTTCTTTGTTTATATTTTGCTTCCAAGGACCACAACTATCTTTAATTTTTTTAAAGTAATCTTGAGCAATAGTTTTCCAGGCTTTCTGAACGCCATTCAAATTATTATTATTAATTTCATTTTTGTTTTATATTGGCTGCATTTTCCCTTAATTTCAGTCCAAGGGATCAACCAGTGTTGCATCCACACATAACAGATAACTTAGCAAAGAACCCATTTTTAACTGTATAAATAAGTACTTTGATACCAGCAGAAAGCTGCCTCCGAAAGTTCAGGCTATGTTAAGGAAGGAAGGTGCTTACACTAAATATCAACTTTCAAGGTCATTAGACTTGTAAAAACTCTTTTTCCCATTTCCCATAACAAAAACTAAAAAATGGGTGGCTAAAGACTTTTGCACAACGCTTTCCAAGACTAAAGTGTTTTTAAAATTCCAACCAAACTGAATTAGTTACCTCTATTTTGTATAACTATCTTAAACCTAACACTAAAGGTCCTGGCTCTTATCAGTCTTGTTCAACTTGTCCCAAAAACTTGTTCATGCCTTCGATAACACTTTGTGTCCATCACAGTTCTACAATATCTTCAAAAATGTGTTTGAGCTCTGGTGGACAGCTTAAGTCCAAACAGCAGACCACACGGCTGTACTGTAGTGACACTGAGGACACCACAGCTTGAATGAAGACAGTAATATCAAACTGGTTATCTTCTGGATGCACATCTTCTCTGCCACATATTAGCTCATCACAGTTTTCTTCATGGTGCTTTTAGTCTCCATGTCTGTACTCTGTGTGATAAAAACATAAATCTACTATTAAAAGAAGAAAGAAATACATTACGAGAGTAAAGACATTTCAGCAAACAGTTTAAGGCAAGACAAAGTTGATCTAAATATAAATTCTCAAGAATCCCTCAAATGAATGATCTCCTGTAATACAGAATACAGTTTTAATATCTTAAGCAATATCATTAATTTAAAAACTGCACTGCAAGAAGGCTATTCTCTTCTGAACACACACACACACACACACACACACACACACACACACACACACACACACACACACTGCATACTTTATATATACACACATATTATACTGCGCATAACCATCCAGTTTTGTTGCTAATCTTGACCTAACCAGACTAACATTCCCACTAAACCAAAAAAGATACTTCTGTTATATTCAGTAAAAAGAACTAGATGTTACAGTCCACGATAATGGATTGCTTTAGATGGAGAGACTCTTGAGGGATGGCTGTTATGAGAAAAGGCAGCCCAGAAACTTTGCCAGCAGCAGAACTGGGTAAAAGACCGAAAGTTGTGTGCCTCAACTTTGGGTCTTTTACCCAGGCTAATCTGCCATTTTCCTTCCTTGGTTAGTTTTAGGGATTAGAGATCTGATCTAAATTATCATTTTAAAATTTGGGACACATCGTCAGTAGTGGACCTTGGATTCATCAGGTGTTTCGACCATCATCACTAGACACCCTCATCCAAGGAGGCCCTGTCGGGGTTGATCAGGCCCCGGAGTGTGTCACTGGTTTATGTTAACTTGTTATTTCTCTTCTTCTTTCTTCTGATTAGTTTTCTACACACCTCCCCGCCGGATCAGGCTGTACGCTCTACCTCCCCACTGCCTACCAGAAAAGGGAAGAAGAGCCCTTTTTAACCATAGCCAGTGACTGGTCCTCTCAGCAGTGTTAGCTAGTTCTCTTATAGCCTGCCGTTGCGCCTGTCCTCTGATCCCAATCTCTCTAAGCAGCTTTGCTGTTGTACTGGCAACAAAGTCCCTGCACCCCACTTCCACCGGGCGCACCTTGATCTTCAAGCGTCTGTCCTCTGCCTCAGCTGCCAAGTTGGCAGCTTCTTACGCTCAAATGCTTCCTCAATTGCTTCTTCCCAAGTTACCATCAGCTCAATAACGTGCACAAGTTTTCGGGAGTTAGCCCAAAGAACGAGATCTGGTCGCAGAGTAGTTGTTACGATCTCTGTGGGAAAAATTAGCCTCTGATCCAAGTCCACTTGCATCTGTCAATCCCTGGCAGCATTCAGCAGGCCCAGCTCTTGGTTTGAGGGGCATGTCCTCGGCTTGTCTCTTTCCCGGACAAATGTTGATGAAAACTTCCTGTCCAGGATGTGTATATCCTCATCATTGAAAGAGGGTCCACTGGCCTGTAGGTGTAAATAGACTGCAGAGTCCTGGCCTGACGTGGCATCTCTTCTGCGTTGTGCCATCCGCTTCGCCAGAGGTTGTTTGGTTTCCCCAATGTATAAATCCTGGCAATCCTCCTGCACTTAACAGCGTACACTATGTTACTCTGTTTGTGTCGGGGGACCCGATCCTCGGGGTTGACCAATTTTTGGCGCAGCGGGTTTAAAAGCCACAGAGACACGGTGTTTAGAGAAAATGAGTCTCAACTGTTCCAATACTCCTGACACATACGGGATCACTACAGGTTTTTGCTTAGTCAGCAATTGTCCTTCTCTCCTGGGTCGGCTGGAGCTTTCTTTTGGTGCTTTCCCAGCTTTGACAAAAGTCCAGCTGGGATAATCACATTTACTCAGGGCCTTCTTGATGTGCTGTTCTTCTGCCTCCCTGACCGCTGTGTCTGTGGGGATGGTGTTCGCTCTATGTTGTAGCGTCCTGATGACACCCAATTTATGCTCTAGTGGATGAT